CTAGAAGTTAATATATATATATATATATATATATATATCAGCATCTATCTTATTCTATATAGAATGAATATCATGTAAATACACTCCAATTTTATACATATTACATGTCCATATACTGCATGTTCTCATGAAAAATTAAAGATAAAACTATAATTCATTTTACAGTTAGACCTCGTACATATATAGTAGTGTCTGTTTTTCGTCAAAATAATATCAGAATAAAAAGTATATATAACAAAAGTTTTTCTCTTTAAAAACAGAAAAATATTTAATAGTTCATTTTTCAATCCTACTTTAGAATCTCCTAAATAGATATCATGGTTCTAAATTTAGTACTTTCAAAAACTGTGAAACGAGGATTATCCCAGATTTCTTAATTGTCAAAACCAGTATTTTTTTTTCTTTCTTTTTATGGCTTCTTCAATGCTATATAGTATTACTTCTGGTACTGTGTATTTGAAAGTCATAGCGCATTAACATTAAATAAATGGAGAAGTACGAAACACTGATGGACTATTGGACTTGATGAAGATGTGACAATTCAAAAGAATAGTACAATACTAGAAAATTTTGCAAACAAAAAAGAAAATTCTCTTTTTTCTAGAGATGTCAAACGTGCAGGGCCGGCACGGCACGCTTGATCCCAGGCCTATTACGGATCTGAGCCATGCCTGGCACAGTCCTGCACAGTGCAGAGCCAGGCTTGAGAAGAAAAACTCAGGCCCGGTCCAGGCCCTTGGCCCTAGTCCATAAGGGTCAGGGCCGGGCCTAGGCCCAAGCCCTTCACAGGCCGGCCCCGGCCTTTATATTTTTAAAAAAAATTTAATTAAAAAAAATATATCATATGCCCCAAAAGATGTGATTTTATTGAATTGACGTAATAGGACTACACATAAATGACTGCCTCGTTAAAAACCTTACTAAGTAAAACCCGTGGGGAGATCGGGACAAAAGCTTAGCGAAGGAAAAAAGAGTGCAGTAGCTAGGATTAGTAAATTACAAACCTAAGTGCTTCCAGAAGATTCTGTTATTTCTAAGTTAGAAAAATATTCTTGCATCGAATCATCTGTATATTGTTGTTTTCGTCTTCTGGCATCTTCCCAGTCTTTAATGCACATTAGTCCCTCCAAGATATCTGTTGGAAACCGAATCAAATTCAGATGCGGAAGCATGGCGGGGAGGCGGATCGTGTATAACAAAAATTTTCATAAAACTTTTGAGATACTCTATATATTATATTAATTTATACACGAATAAATTAATCACATTAATTTATATGTCAAGAACTCAATTAGGAAACATACCTGGAGGCCGACTCGGATGATAACTTGAGTTCTTTGACCACGAACAATCCTTGCTCCAATCTTTGTGTTTAGAAAACCAAAGTCTTCCACGTCAATTCCTTGATTTCACGTAGACGTGTGTGTGGGCACACATGAGACAAAATAGGTTTCAAAAACACTCAAATTTTCACAAACACCAACGCATGCACGATGTGAAATTTTTTGGGAAAAAAAATTTTCCTCTCTTTTTCTTGAGAATTTTCGGCCACACTAACAATTAGGGCAGAAAAACTGTTTCAAAAATTGTGTCCACAATTTTCTATCATTTTCATATTTAAAGAGTAGAAGTCAAACTTCAAAAAGGAATCAAAAATCTCTATCTCCTATTTTAAATTTGGAACAAAAAATCTCCTACACCTTATCCCTTAAGTGGCCGGCCACCCTAGGGTTTTTCATCCCTGTGTGTGGCGCCAATTACAGATAGGGAAGGAAGAGAAAATTATAATTTATCCTGTAGTCCAATTTTTAGTTCAAATTCAAATTCGAATTTAAGTCAAACTTAAATTAATTTGAATTCTAAATTGAACAACTTATCTAATAAGTTTAAAAGGATAAATTTAAATTATGTTCACAATTCAAATTCAAATTTAAATAATCACATTATTTAAATAATAATTAATTCTCAATTAATTATTTTTTGAGTATTTAATTTTAGAATTCCATAATTCTAAAATTCCCATTTTGTCCTTTGTGTCTTGTAGAATTAGAAGGACGACGTGGGGACTTATGGACCTATAATCCCGATCTCCAATAAAATTAATAATTAATTAAACACTTTAATTAATTAATTAATTCTATTAATTTCAATGGTTACTCCACTATAAACTTGGAATTGCACTCTCGAAATTATAGACATTAATTACTTATAAACTGTGAAGTGTCCATTTGATATAGTCATTACATATAGATCAATCATCCATAAATAATTCATAATTAAAGTCAGGTAGAATCCGTTAACCTCTCTAATTATATCTTCATCCTTGAGTACCATTGATTCTCTAATGGATAGTGATTCATAAAACA